GATTGTGCGAGCTCCGCTGGCGTGATTTTTCCGGAGAATGACCCCCAGATTATCAATCTGCTTTCCCTTAGGCGCCTGTCCACTAAAGACGCTGTGGCGGTCTTTATAGCCGCGTCAGACAGTTGTATTACTTCCTTCGCGGCCAGAGAGCCCGGTATGGATGTCGCGAGGTACTCATTCAGCGAAGGAAGTTCCCTGTCGACTTTCATCCAAGTTGCTGCAATTTTAGTGCCTGAGTCCTCCAGTGCCTTTGAAGGACGCTCCAATTTCGCGTCGAGTATCCCGATCAAAGCGGAACACTGACATCGGTCTTTCTGAATCTGCAGTGGGGATTAAGTACCGTTTTTGGGGGCTTTCCTCTTGGCTGCGGTATGCACTGCACCCTTGGCGTAGAGGCAGCTGGCGCAGCCAAACGAGTCAGGAGAGTTAGCTGTTCGGGTTGTATGGTCGTCCTGTAAACTCGTGCATTTGAAGTGCCACCAGGCCTTACAGGTGTGGCATTGTATACCGAGTTGACGTTCGACCGGGTAGCCATTTCGCTCACATCTGCTGTGGTCTATCAACGGCTGAAGAGAATGATCGGTGTAAATTGATGTCATGTTTCGGACTAGATGTAAGATAGGGAGTGTGCGCAAAACATCTCAAATGTTTTGTTAGAGTAATAAAATTCAACAATGACTCACGTGTACTCTGTGAATAGATTGAAAAACAAAAAACTCCTTTCACAAATTTGCACGAGGGAAAAAGGAAACCAATTTCGAACGTACCGCACTGGTCAGGAAAAATGTCCGAAAGGTTTACTAGAAAGCACTTTAATGTGAGTTGGAATGCCGCCCAAAATACCAGACGGGCAAAAGTTGTCACAACTCCTAACTACTTCAATGAGGCAACACTGCCAGAGTTCAAAACCGGTAATCGATATTTACGTGCAGATAATATGTATGCGGTCGATGAGAACTGGTGAGGAGTTTTCTCCGTTGACCCATCAAACACAGGGCGCACACTTTCATTAGGCAAGATTTTTCTCAATCCGAGTAGTTTGCGCATGGAATAACCGCCCTCTGACGGTTGTCCACAGTTCCATCTAGAACCCAGTTCTTAGCAATATTCGACGCGTTTTTATGCGAGTCCTCACGCTAGCAAGCTTACTACCGCGCGCTGAACACCTAAGAAGCAGTGCTAGATCCTCCTTTCGCTTGTGCCTTTCGGGTGAACGATAATAAGAAGATCAACCCGGGAAACTTGGGCGAATGCTCCAACCTTATTTATCAATCCGTGAACTAATTGGACCCCACATTTGTTTTTATGGGTAATTTTGGGCGCGCCAGAAACGGTTAGTTAAGTCGGCCTCGACACTGGACTTTCTGGGCCGAGTTCGGTTGCGTTTCGCACCTAAAACTACGGCTTTCAAGTGTTTATACCATATTAGACGAAAAATAACAACATCATTATGTACCTCAGCCGAAGCCTTCGGCCCGTCCATACTCTTGTTTTATATCTTTCAAATAGCGCGTCGAGGCTATGCAGTGCGAAGGCTCATGTAAACCTACAACTTGTGGCTTCTGGAAGTTTAATTCGAACCCATCATGAATTTTCAAACGTCTGCAAACACCCATCGCTCCGACTCACTTTGTTTCCTGGGAGTGCGCTGACGTGGTTGAATAAGAAACTCTCACGGTCGGAACTGCGAAGACTGAAAATCGATAGTGTATCCAGACGTGGGAAACTTCGTATCACTGATGGCAGTCGCAATTAGAAGTAAAACGCCACCCTCTTCGGCACTCACATAAGCCGTCGGTTATCCGCCCGTTACTTTGAAGCGGCTAATTTGCAGCGAAAATGGCCATCTCACTCGTTTTGTTCGGAAATTTTTCAGTGGTGTTCATTTTTTTGGTGATCCAGCAAGTTGATGAACAGTCCACAGTTCCAGGACGTAGGCTGTCACGGCTTCCTGTGCTGGGAAAGACGGCTCTGACTTGAGATAGACGGAAGAGACCTCGACGTTCCTGTGTTGAATTGCCCTGCCACATTGTCAACAAACACGGAAATACGTCAAGTGATTTGCATTTGCTGGCAGCGCAGCAGCCACGCTTCGAGAGAATCATGTAGCCACCTACTTCCACTCTGTTCGACAACATCCATTAACAACGCTCTGGCCTTTAATACGGGTTTTATTGATATTGGCGTTCATGAACCAAGATGTTTCATCAAGCCTATGGTATACTCTTATGATGTTGAACACAAACGTTTCCTACTGGCGTGTACTGTTTGTTTTCGTTTTAATATACTTTTGTGCATTTGCCGTAATGTTTGCTTTAAATCGAAGGGTTGTCTAAAGTATTGACGTTTCATTCATGTCTCTTGGGTTGGACAGTTCAATGACTTGCTTCCCGAGTAGTTGGTCATCATGCATGATGTACTCCAAAGCAATTTAAAAGGTCATAACTGTCTTCCAGCGAATCAGTGCATTGCTCTGAACTAATAAAGAGGTGATCGGGGTTTTCTTGTGCAGCACAATGTGTGTCACAATGGACCGGAATCTCTTTAGTCGAATTTTCCTCTGGTCGCCCATCATACCATACGAAACAAACTAGTATAGGACCGTTCATGCCAAGTCGATTCGTAGGAATCAATAGACTTTACCAGATGATGTTAATTTATCACTGCTGTACCGTCTTAGAGATTATTCAATGTGCCTACCAAATCAAGTACTATTTTCACACTTCTGGCGATTGGGTCTATATAGATTGTTTTAAGCACTTCATGTCTGTCAGTAATGGAAGTTCGACAGTTCGGGTAGCGCTATTTGTGTCCATGATCGTACATGATCGACTGTATGCAAATCCGTCAGTAGGATCGGGCGTTTTGCTATCATCATTTCACTATGTACCCTCATTTAGGTAATATCAATCGGATATGGATCTGGGGGCAAGATGGCTCAGTAAGTAGAGCGCGAATTTGCTAATCGCAAGGTCAGTGGTTCGAACCCGACCTCTGCCCCTTGACTTCCCCTGTCTAGGCTTGGACAACGTGGCACTATCCCAGCCCTTATGCTTCCTTGTGGCATGGCAGCTATGCACCGAAAGGGTACTACAGCTGAGCGATTCGATTCTCTCCAAGATGAACCTAGCCCGAATTTACTAACATTGTTCCTTTCTCCTGTATTTTCCGTCACGGATGGATTCCTGAGAAGGGAAGGTATACTCAGGTACCCCCTAAAGCGCTGGAAATTCTCCCTTAACGTGAAAATACAAGCCTCATTACTTCTGGAGACAATCAAATTTTGAGGTTTGCTATATATATTGAGTAAGACACTAGCGAAGGTTCCAAGGACTTCAGGGAAAACGAGATGTTTTTTCTACAACAGATGACAAGCTTCGTAGTACTCGGTTGATGAGAAAGATTAAGCTTTACGATTCAGAAAGCTGAGGCGAATGCCGGAGGAAGTCATTTCACACCAAGTTTCTTATAGTAGTGACATTGTGGTCCTACAGCTGTGGCGTTCCGCTGGCTCGCTTGCAAGTCAACCGGTGAGATAACTTGCTGTCCTGCCCCATTTTGTTCTGGGTGGTATCATTGGTTGGCAAGTAAGAAATACAACAAAGACCTTGACGATTTTATAGAAGACTTGAATGAATTGGGGGCAGTTTAGGGAGAATTTAGTTTGAGTTCCACTCCATTCATGGGGTTAGGGGGCGAGATGGCCCAAGTGGTTAGAGCCCGAATTTACTGACCGGAAGGTCCGTGGTTCGAATCCGACCTCCGCCACTCGACTTTTCTTTACAATAAAGCTTTCAAATAAGTCGTGGTTGTACGGCAGTGAAGCATCGGTGTTGAACACTGATGTCATGCTGTCGATGATGATGATGATGGCTTGACTTCTGTCTAGGCTTGAGCAACCTGGCAGTGTCCCAGCCCTCGTGCTTCCTTCGGGTAGCATGGCAGCTAGGCACCGGAAGGGTTTACAGCTGAACGCTTTCTTTCTTTCTTTTTCTTTTCATGGGGTTAGGATGTCGAGGGGAAGTAGACACGTAAACGGAATCCTTGGCCATAATTGTTAACAAGAGCGGTATTTGACGTATTGAGGTCACGCTCATCACGCAGTCGGAGCCAGGTGATCACCATTAGGTGTCTAGGTACCTCAGTGGTTAAGGTGCCAGCTTACGGACCGGAAGGTCCGTGGTTCTAACCTTACCTCAGAATCTCGACTGCTCCAGGCTTGGACAGCCTGGCAGTATCCCAGCCCTCCTGCCTCCTTATGTTGGCACGGAAGCCAGGCACCAAAAGGGTTCTATAGCTGGACGATTTGATTTGATTTGATTTGGATTGGCGAGTGACAGGGAGGGATATCTACGAGGGTGTAGTTGGAGAGAATAACTAGTTGCAAATGGTTCGCTTCGGGGATTAATGGGGGAATCCAATCTAGGTGTCGTAAATGGTGGTCATGCAGTTTGCTCATTTTGTGGGACATAGACTTACACACCAACATCTAGTCCTGTCTAACCCTGATCACCATGACAATATCAGCCCACATACAACCACGAACCGCACATTTACATGAGTTCTAACGCCATATCGGTTATCGCGAGGTGCCATCGGCCAGGTCGCCTTACTGCACGCAGCAGGATGGGTAGTCGAAAACAAGCTACTACTGACGCCACCCTTCCTCTATCATATATTAGTTCTCCTTTTCATCCTGTTGCTCGTGACACCTTCGCAGACTCCTTAAAGACTGACATCCGTTCGCTGGCAATTGCCGTTAGCTCTAATATCTACGGTTGACTCGGTCACGACGGCTACTTACACTTCGAAATCGTTCTTCAAACCCCAATACGGAGTTGAGCTGGAAAATTTCGCGCTCTGAAACGAGGAGGAGCGCATAATTCTCTTGCATGTGCACTGGATTCGCTTTTTATTGATATGTGCTGTCTACATGAAACGAGGACTCAAGACTCAATTACGCTCATTGACCTGACCTCCCATCGGTTTTCGGTCGTTTGTGCGCTTATGGTGGTCCAGGATCCGCTGAACCTAGTTTCGCTAGGATTAGTTTATATTTTAATCGGGCGTGCTGAAGAGTCTGCCTTAGTTTCCCGTCAGTGGTAGCCTCCGTGGTTCGTTTGGCAGCGTTGGCGTGAGTATGCCCTAAATGTCTCGTAATCGCCGCCTATCCATTCCGCCTGCTTACGCCCCAGGAGACTAGCTCTGGTATTCTCTCTGACACTTGCGATTTCAGTGCCTTATTGCTGTGGCCTAAGAGGTCACGTGGTTGTCGGGGGTCTGGATACCATAAAAATCAATCAGCGCAGCGATCTACCCATCCAAAAATCATGGGTGAACGAAACTAGCAACTATAACCACTGAGCCACAAGTACGTGGTTCTTACAGCTGATGACGATATGTCACTACCCACTGTTGAGTTGAGTCCCGGGGTCCTCACCTAGAGGTGTGGCTTTTGTCTGCCCGACTCAGTTTACTGGTTATCCTTGGTTGTCAGGTCATACAGTCCACCAGTCGGTCATCACAGGGCTGGGCGAGAAGTGCTCCGCGAAACAGGTGGTCCTCCGACATGCGCAGTACATGTCCTAACCCGCGTAACCTATGAAGCGGGAGAGTTTCTTCCTAAAACTATCTGGCATTGCTATCAGTATTGCTAATTCGATGTCCCCACCAATGTACTTTGGCCAAACAATAGCTTTCGTATGCTCTCTGCGCATAGAGACCGCATTTCTGATCCATTATACTGTGGATCGCACTGCCGTGGTGTAAACTCTGTCCTCGACAGACAGGCTAGTGGCTCGTCAGTGCCACAGGAGTCGCAGGTTGGCCAAAGCTGTCCTGGTCTTCCCCATACGAGAACTAATCTCATCTCCAGCCAGTCCATCGGAACTTGTGCAACCGCTCACGTAAACAAATTTATCTGCCACATTAATTGGCTCTGCAAGCATGAGGTTTGGACTTGATCCCACCCAGTCCTGTAGCGGCACTTAGCATTTTGGAGGTATGAAGCGCATGCCAAACCGCCTGGCAGAGTTGGTTAGGTTATTTAAATGGTTTGCATTTTTGAAGTATCTGAACCGAGGAGAGCGATATCGTGCGCATACTCAATATCAGTGAGGGAATATCCTGGGAGCATTTCGACCCCCCAAGTTTCACTGACAGGCAGAGAAATTTCACGCAACACATCAATAACAAAGTTGAAGAGGAAAGGTGAGAGAGGCAGCCTTGTTTTACACTACTGGACGTGGTGAACCCACGCGAGATCTTGCCGTATGCGATTGCACGCCCACAATAGTTTGCATACAAAACCCTCATAAGGGATATACGCTTACAAGGGACATCTTTGATCGCCAAGCACTGCTAAAGTTTCTGATAATCGATAGAGTCAAGACCACCTTTCGGATCCAGAAAAACGACCAACTTGGGACGTCTAAAGGAGTAGCGCTTTTCAAGAATTTGTCTCAAGGCAAAGTTACAGTCCGTGAATCATCGTCCAGGTCGAAAACCAGCTTGGTTCTCACGAATCTCTCCCCATAATCGACCAACCTGGGCAAATTAACGCATGGCGTTCTTGCGCCATTTTTGAAGACATGATGGTCGAGGAGCTCCATTTACACTGTTATTCTGTTTCCGTTCCACTCTTCTGCAGTATGGTCGTCAGGCTGTTCACCAGGACCTCACCACTTTCTTTTAAAAGTGCGGGTGCAAGGCCATCCGCGCCAGCGCCCTGTCGCGTTGGGGGATTGATATCTCCAGCTGGATTTCAGTTGTTGACAGCGGTCTGGTGGCGATATTCTACTTAGGCCCGCTGGGTTCTTCTAGTTGTTGTGTTAAAGGAGACCAGATGAACTGTTCTTTGAAGTGTTCAACCCAATGCTCAAGGTGATGATTTTGTGAGTGATTTGTTATTCCGTCTTTTCCGCATACTGTTTCGCTGACACGTTTTTTAACCGGTTCACCAAATCAGCTGAAATAGGGCGCGGCTGTTGCCTGCAGTGGAGGTCTGCACATGCTGGGCCTTCAAAGCCCACCAGCGTTCTGCAATTCTTCAAGCTCTTGATTATCCGGTGTTTGAGGGATCTGCATGGGCCATCGTAGCCTCTAGTTGCTGATATTACCTTCCTAACGGCAACAAGAACTGCTGGTACCAACGTTATCCATGCATTGACTTCATCTGTTGCACTGCTCTCGGAATCGTTACCACTTATGGAATAGGCGGAGTATATCTCACAACCTCCATCCCATCTTGAATAACTAAAGGCAGGTACGGCGAATGTGCGCATTTCAGCACACGTGTGCAAAGCTGGAGGACTTGGGCCTCTTTTATGGGATTAATTAGTCTGTATGTTTCAAGTAGACAAGTGTTCTGCCTTTAGCCAGGTCAGAGCGATAAGCTTGAGTTGCTGAAACTTGTCGAGGTTGATGGATTGAGCTGCTCATTTTGGCCCACGTAATTCTAGTGGAAAGTGACGTGATAACTAGGCTCGCACAATCGCATGATCAGAGTCAAGTTACGTACCGCAGAAAGAACCACACTCATTAATCGAGTTTCTCCATTGATAATTGATAATTGCTAGCCACGTGGTCCGATTGAGTTCATGACTGTCGTGCGCTTGGAGACCTCCAAATAGCTCGATGTGAGCGTTTGTGTTGGGAGTTCGTTCTGGTCAGGAATAGACTATAGTCAGCAGACAACAAAAGCAGTCGGTCCCCATTATCTGTACGGTGTACATCGACTCCAAACCTATCACCTAAGTGCGCTTCTTCCTTTTGATATATCATAGTGGGCGGAGCAGGAAGCCAAGGTCCGGCACAGAGTTGGACTACCGTTCAGCAATTCACAACAACTGGCGACAATCCGAGCCCACGGTGTCAATTTCGGCAGAGCAACTCCAACTAATTTTACAGCAGCAACAGAGGCAGTTTGAAGAAGCTCAAATGAGGCTTGTTGAATCTCTGATGCGCAGTATGTCAGTGATTACGACAAAAACAGTCGGGTCTCCATCTTTTTTCAACAGGTGCTGCTACCAGCTCAATTACTGAATTCAATTTCGACGCTGGATCTGGACGAACTTTCGAAAGTTGGTTCAAGAAAAAAAACCGACTTTGCTCAGTTTGATGATGCATGGAAAGTTCGACTGTTGCTGCGGAAACTGGGGACAGCCGAACATGATCGGTTCACAAATTTCACACTCCCCAAACTCCCTCATGACCTTGGTTTCGCAGATGCTATCAGAATCCTGGCCGAAATATTCGGTGAGCAAAGTTCCTTGCTCAATATTCATTATCAGTTTCTCAGGATTACCAAAAAGGATACTGAAAATTTCATCACCTATGCCGGTGTGATCAACAGAGGATGCGAGCGCTTTCTGCACAGCACCATGACCGAGGGTCGATTCAAGTGTCTCATCTTCCGGGGAGAGGTGGACCAAGTGGTTAGAGCACAAATTTACTGACCAGAAGGTCCGTGGTTCGAACCCGATCTCTGTCTCTCGACTTACCCTGTCTAGGCTTGGGCAACCTGGCACTATCCCAGCCCTCGTGCCTCATTCGTTTGGCATGGCAGCTAGGCACCGAAGGAATGCCACAGCTGAATGATTTATTTTATTTATTATTTATCCTCCTGGCTGGTCTTCAATCGCCACCTGATGCAGATATTGTCACTACTGGCTACTGAATCGAATTGAACAGAATCCAGAGTTAACGCTCAAGAAACGTAACATCGATTGCTAGCATCCTACCAATCTCAAGGCTGATGCTTCCATGACTGGACATTCCAAATTCTCTCAACCTGATATGGTATGCAAAAGAAAACCAAATTCTAAACGAACTCCAGGAAAGCCGCCCACACCCTGTTGGTTCTGGGGAGAATGGCATTATTCACGCCACTGTCCCTACGGGAACCACCGATGCAGCAAGTGCCGTCACAAAGAGGAATGCTGAAGAGACAACTTCAGGAGCTCGCGCAAATGCCGACCCGGCAAAAGGACGCAGGCGGTGTCCATGACCGCTACATTCAGGATGAAATCACCCAGTCAATGTAAATTCGTCACTATATGTATCAGTGGCACACCGGTTACCCTCCAAATTGATTACAGGTTCTGACCTTACTCTGATTTAAAAACGAAATTGGGACGTAATTGGAAGGCCAGTAGTGGAACGCACAAAGTGCACCATCCGTAATGCATCTGGTGGAAGCCTCAAACTGACCGGGAAGCTAAATTGTTCCGTAACGTCCAAGGGGATTCAACTCAGTGGTAATTGCTGCCTCACGAACTATACAGGCCTTGATCTCTTGGGCCTGGATTGGATTAATAAGCTTCAACTCTTGGATCAACCCGTCAATGCCGTTTGTAACGAAGCAACTGCAAGTGGCTCCTATATGTTCACGAGAACACCACGTCCTGACGATTTTGTGGTCGCCACAGTTACAGCCAAACCGGAGACCAGAGGGAGCAAGCGCGACGCGGCGGCTATTCAGCTTCTGGCGTCCGGCACCGATAGCACTCTCACTTCAGTCCAATTTGGTTAATACTGCCAGCAGTCTGGAACGTTTTATCGGCGGTCCAAGCCCTTAAGTTTACAGTCTCAGGTTCATGCAGATCTTTCTACTGCTATCCGAAAACTCAAGAAAGGGGACAGACAAAAGGGACGCTACAACTGTCACACAGAGGCCGAGTACTGATTCGAGGGTATGGGGAATGCTCTCCACGGCGGACGCAGGGTCGAATTTGTCAAACACGAGGACCAAATAGGGTCATAAGCACGGTCGCGTCAAGGGAACCAACCTCAGACAACAGACTGCGGCTCCTTAAGGGGACCGCATCGCATGGGACACCGGACAGCCGTGACATACTCCCGAAGTAGAGGGTTCCAGATCCCAAACCAGCATGTTCGCAGCCCCAAGGACGGATCGACATGCGACAGCACCTCCATGAGTCGTCACAGTGGAGTGCAAAGCAGCGGTCGGTTAAACAGCCTCCTCAAGGCGGAGGTGTACGGAGGCCACCCGTCCCTAATAACCGAACGTCACATCATTTGGAAGGATGTGTCACATGCAGGATACGGACCAAACGAAGACATGCCCTAATTTGTCACAATGACAGTCAATCCGGATTGAGCATCTTTAACTCAACGCTTCTTGCCCCCTCACGGAGCTTCTAGCACGACCATGTGGAACATTCTGTCATTGCCCTATAAATACGGTTGTGATAATTTTCCATTGTCTCCATAAAGGGCTGTCCAGAATTACCGTGCTTTTTGATATACCATTGTAGGCGGAGCAGGAAGCCAAGGTCCGGCACAGAGTTGGACTACCGTTCAGCAAGTCACAACCAAGCGGGATTCCGGCCTGGTAGGGCTTGTGTTGACCAAATCTTCACACTTAGTCAGGTGCTAGAACAACACCACACGTATAAGCGACCCACAGAGACGTTTTCTGGTGGAATCAATAGGCATATGGCACACGGTTTACAGCCGATAAATTGAATTGATTGAATTGATAGCTCGTGTGGGTTGATGTTCGCGTATCCGTAACGAGGCAATTAGGAAGCGAGTTTTCGGCTGTGCAACGGGTACGTCCATTGAAGAATGTGTCCAACACCAGAGGCTGAGTTTGTTGGGATATGTGTTGCGTATGCCTAACCATCGCTTGCCGAAGAGAGTGCTGTTTTCCATGTGGCGGAAGCAGAGAGGTGGCCAACCCTTGACTTTGCAGAAACGTATGAAAGAAGTTACGAGACGTTTGGGTGCTGTCGATGCTACTCGCCTTCCACGATGGAGCCGCTCGATCCTCAGTGCACCTGATTGGAGACGCTGCAAAATATGGCTGCCAACCGATATCAGTTTCCATTCAGATTGCCTGAATGAGTGTCTGGAGGTGTAGGCACCTCGGAATGATTGTAGTAAGCTAGCACTAAGTTCATTCCCCGTCCACCTCTGCGCTTTTATTCACAATAAGGTTATCAAATAAATCGTGGTTGTACGGCAGCGAAGCATCGGTGTTGAACACTGATGTCATGCTGTCGCTGATGATAGTGATGATGATGATGATGATGATGATGATGATGATAATGATGATGATGATGATGATGATGAAAATGATTATACTTTTCTCTGGGTAGTTAGCTGAGGCTTACATAGGGTATGTAGATGGGGATGATGGCAGCTGAAGAGTCAGTTATGAGCTATAATTAGGTACAGCTGAATTGGGGTTCGTGTTGCATAAAACGGTTCATCGACATCCTAGACAGTAACACCCGGGGTGTAACCTTGATGCGTCACCGCGAAGAGACCTTGTGCTTGCCCACCGTGGTTATCCGGAGGTGCCTGCACTTCCAAAAACTCAATCAGTTGATCTCGATAGATACTGATGTTGGTCAGATACCATGTTTTACAACGATCCCAACGAAGCCTAAGGAGGATTAAAAGGATCCCATCGTGGATAGCGATAATTCGGTATCCGTAGCACGTACCTGAGCCATCGATGTGAGTGCCGGTGAATGTTTTTTGCAACTGAACTATCTGCTACACAGCCAAGCGCCCGTTTTCCAACTAACCCTTTTAGACGCTGTTCAATATTAGAAGCGCTCTCGAGGCACAAGTGTTCAAAAACCCGGAGATACCTCTGATCATATGTGTGCAAAAGGCGAGTCTTTGAGCCACACAACAGAACGGGTCGCACTCCAAATTGATAAGTGCGACCATTGAGACCCAGCGACGCTTTTACGATGCCACAAATGGCGCGAAATCGAGGATTGTGCATTGACTTCATCGGACACTTCCACCACCCAAAATGTTTCTCCTTGGATCACAAGAGAGATAATACACGCTCAGTGCGACTTTGCACTTTATGGGTGCACTGTGCATGTCGGACGACAGTACGTTGGTTAGACCATTCGAGATCTCTTGTACTTTATGTTAGTTTTAACAGAGTAGAGTGGTGTAGTCTTCACACCTTAGATCATCCTGGTTCTCGCCAGCCGTTCGGCGGAATCCTGCACCAGAACCGCTTTCCCGATCACAGCTATCACAGCCAAGAAGCCCACCCCCCACATGATTGGCCAGAGGATCAGGTCGCTTGCCGGTTCAGCATCAAGGCGAGCTCTGAAC